GGCTTTCTCTGCCAGGCTGATATACTAACGAAGAGGGCATCTCGAACACAATTGGACTTCCTTGATCATTCGAGAAACTCATCACGCATGCTACCAGTGCCAATGCAGCACCAGCGTTACGTGACTTCCACTGTCGTAACAATATTAAGTAAGTGTTACAAAATGACAAATTATCAATTCTAAAATATTTTTGAGTAAAACAATGTTGAAATAGTATTGGAATTAATATTTGTATACAAATTTCACTTGATACATGGAAGGTGCTCCTTGGCTTGGAAATAGTTAATATATACATCTCCACTATTTATTTAATCAAACCTCAGTTAATCATGGTACTTTATGTTGAGACCAAACTCAGTAAGTTAGATATAGTAGTTGATTATACCATACCCCTAATAACTTTTAAAAGCAAAAAATATATAGGCAGTATATCTAATCATGTATTTGAATTCCTTTTTTCCATCTAAAATGTAAACAAGTTTCATATGCAAGTACTCTCTCACATAAATATTTGTAATACTTCCATGAAAAATATTCTTGTTTTTAACCCATAGGAAGATGTATTTCTGCCTATTTTTTAGTGGTAGTTGTCTTATACATGTAAAATTATGTTATTCTGTACGTCAAAACAGTATCGGATAGCCACAGTATTGTTTTTAAAGTTGGGATTCAGAAGGAAGCTTCTCTTATAATAATATTTACAAATATAATGATGAGAAAAAGGTATATATATTTTACTCTTTTCATGATTTCCCCTTAGCTCTACAGTATTTTATATTTCTAGCATTATGAAATAGAATTCTTCCCATTGAGATTTCAAATATCCTGACTCTGAATGCTTATCACACAATAATGAGTTTTATACTTACTTCTCCTCACATTTACACCATCCACAACATCAGACAGATAAAGATGGATTGTTGAATATATATGAGCACCCTTATCTGACTGCGAGAATGGAACAAAGGAGTTGGTCTCCTCACAGACTGCTTCTACGATAACTTGGTTTCTATCAACTTTTTGCTTGCAATTGTATTTACCATCCAGAAAAGGAATATTTTGAATTGGCTGCAAAATAAATATTTATTTGTTCTTTATCAAATCAGTGCTATTTTTCTTTATTTTCAGTTTGTTATTTCTAAAGCATAATATGATTGTTGTTCAGGGATATACTAAAATAAATACATATGAAAATCTGTTTAAAAACAACATAGTGCATTAAGAGAGTTGTAAAGTACAGAGTCCTTATATAAAGACTCGATTGCAGGTTGTTTAAACCAATTTCATTGACACTTGAATGACTTAACAAGATATATATTAACAATTTACTAACCAAAACTTTCAATCCAAAAACAAGGCTAAATTAAAAATAAAGTAAATCGTAGAACTATATTATTAGTCTTCTAATCATCATAGGATTCAAAGAGTTTCGAAATATCAGGAAAGCACTACTTATTAATTTTCCTTTAAAGCTTTTAGCTAAAGATCTAACGTAATAAAACTGGGAAAATGTTCTACCCCACCACTACATATTTTTTGATAGATGGTAAGTATTATTTTTAACTTAAAAAAACAAACTCATAATATGTGAATCAATTAATAACAACAAGAAAGATTAAGGAAAAAATATTTGGTTCTTTTTATTTACTATTTCTTCATAAACTCTTGATTTTATCTGATTTCAATATGTTGGTTGCCAAAAGTTTTCAAGAATGTTTGCATGCATTTAATAAAGTTTTTTTTTTTTTTTTATCCAATGAATAAAAGAAAGTTGATATTGATAACAGAAATGAAAACAAACAGTATGTTTATAATTAGAAAACTGGTTAATTAGAAGAAAGTAGAAATTAGTCACTATGTACTTGATAGAATATATTGATGAAGCTTCTAAAATATTATGAGATTTTTCCCATTAGTTTCACTAGTGATGTAGGAATTAAGATTGTTCATAACATATATAAGCTTGCTAATGATATGGAAATGTTAGGTGTGTGTAATACTATGCTATTGACAATATTCAAATGAATTTTTTATTCCTAAGAAATATGTTTGTAGCCAAATACTACTCAAGTTCATTTCAAAAAAATTTAATTTTGATTGAATAATTTTCTACTGACTGCTTCTAACTTCCTTCTGATTGTCTTGAACTGAGTACTTCATCAGGATTGATTAGCAAAAACCCCAGAATGTTGTCTCCAAATCAGAGAGAAGCAGTCCATAGAGATCTGTTCACCATGTCATCACACTACCTAAAACTCTCTCCAAACATTTTCCTACAATAAAAATGATTAAAAATGGAAGTAGTATAGCTGTACTTACTGAACCAGGAGATAAATATGGGTTTGAGAAAATGGAAGTAGTATAGCTGTACTTACTGAACCAGGAGATGAATATGGGTTTGAGAAAATGGAAGTAGTATAGCTGTACTTACTGAACCAGGAGATGAATATGGGTTTGAGAAAATGGAAGTAGTATAGCTGTACTTACTGAACCAGGAGATGAATATGGGTTTGAGAAAATGGAAGTAGTATAGCTGTACTTACTGAACCAGGAGATGAATATGGGTTTGAGAAAATGGAAGTAGTATAGTTGTACTTACTGAACCAGGAGATGAATATGGGTTTGAGAAAATGGAAGTAGTATAGCTGTACTTACTGAACCAGGAGATGAATATTGGTTTGAGAAAATGGAAGTAGTAGCTCCGTGACGATTTTGACATGATCTCAAATCCTTAGTTTTAACAACAGTAAAGGAGTCCAAAGATCTATCCTGCATTTTGTAGTCTGTGTTACATATTCCTGAAACATCCAACTAAATCAAGGAAAAAAAAGAAAAAAATATATAATTTCCAGAAATTTACACATTATTTGATGAAAACAACGTTAGCTATTTTCATAAAAGTTTTTATCTAATTCATTAATTTTATTCTTGTTAAAATTTGTGAAATTTTGTGCAAAGCCAATTGACAGTTATCTGTGAAAGATGTCCCTAATTTTAAAGTTACAGAATATGGGGATGGCAGCAAGTCAACACCATACATAACCACCTCTTGAACTATTCTTTATTACAGAATACTGAGATCAACTTTCATATTATAACATTCCCATGGCTGAAAAGGTAAATTCTAGCCTGTGTATGATGGTAATTGGTAATATTTGATCTGCATATATATGTATATATAATATGTATTCTAGTTCTTTTTTTACATCAGATTAAGAAGCATATTCAAACACCCATAACTACTATTTAAACATTTTTCTAACACCTTGAAAACATTCTTTACTCACACTCTTCCACATGAACTGTACAGGTATATATACGTACAACTAAATTACAGTAACGTTAAAGTATCAAAATACTTTTCTGTCTGATATTTGTTCACCCAATCAAGCAATATATATATATATATATATATATATATATTGCTGATAGTAAATACAACATCTGATCACTATTCTCAGATTAAGCTGCTTTTAGAAAAAACATATTTGAATAACTTTGTGTGCTATTTTATAAAAACAATATTTAAATTGCCTTAATGATGTACATTTCTAAAAGGTAGTTATGCAAATTACTTGTTTTATATAAATTATTCAGTGTAAATATAAGTTTATCAGAAAATGAGATATTGTAGTCATTGATATTTATATACATTTTATAATATAGCAAATATATATAACTTAATAAAGATGTTCACTCATTTATTGACATTCTTCTTATTCTCAGTGCAGTCATCTCTAATGTTAATTACAATCAAATATCAAAGATCACCCAAAAATTTTAAGTATATACTAAAATTATGACCTTGTCTTACATTTTTATCTCAATTTGAATTCTGAGAGATCCCTGAAATACTTTTCTTTGGTTCACTGTTGATGTTATCTTTCTGTCTATACTTTAACTTTCAGTATTGGATACATATGTAAGTTAACTATAATTACATAACACAACTTTTAAAAAATTACCTCTGAAGTGTGAGTATGAGAGCTGAGAGATTTCATGGAATTTTGAAAAGCTGACAAAATCCCTCTTTTGATGTTAGTAATCCAAACCGGTTCATTTGAAGAAGGACAGATACTGAGAATTTGTCCATCATGATAGGCAAATGGCAGTGGGTCTGCCTCCAACATGTGTTTGAAGTGGCGACGATCACTGACACCAGTTCCATCAAGGAATACATCACGCAACTGGAGAAGTATACAGATTTATACAGGAAAAAATGTTAATGAATAAAACAAATCCATAAAATGAAAAGAAAACAAAAAAACAAGCATGTAACACTGCTACATTACCTAATATCTTCACTTTGCATCAATAAAATATAAAGTAAAGCTCTTATTGTTAATAATTAACCTAAGCAAATTTAGTTTTAATTTTGAACAGAAAAATACTTTTGTCAAAAATGTTATTTAATTTTTTTTAAATATTCATTATTTTTCTGGTAAGATTATTTTGTATTTTCTAAGAAAACTTTTAAACAATATCATAAAGATGTCAGTTCAAATAATTCTTTTGAGTAACATTTGAAATAAAGCTATGTCAAAAAATCTGCCTAAGTATTCATGTATTAAAAACCCCATGACAATATCATAAACTAAAAAAAATTTCAATCTACTTGGAACAAACAAGCAGACAGAGTTTTATAAACTTGTACAGCTTTTATTTCAAGTGCTTCATTATTACTTTGAAAAGAATACTGTTACCAACATATTTTACAGTCACTTTTATTTGTTTAAAACATAGAAAGAACTTACATTACAACAATTAAAGAACACAGAAGCACCTCTTGGTAACAAATGTTTTGCTTATACATACAACGTTTTGTACTCTTACTCTATGAAGTAATATTTGAGGCTATCACACTTTGTGGCTAGTCTAAGCATTCTAGCTCTGTTCCTCATGACATAAAAAACATATCTGCTTATATTAATAGTAGACAGATGCTAGAAATTGAAAGTTGGATATATGTGTGTGTGTGTGTTACTCTTGTTTTGAAGGTGATAAAACTGTCCAAATAATTATTGGTTTATTAGTGTTATATAAGTGGTGAGAA